GATTTCCTCAGAAACATAACGCATCGCTTCGGTTGTTGTTATGACTCGCGCTGAAGTGCACACCACATGAACATAATACTCAAAGCGCGAATGAGTCTAGCTCAGATGGAAGTCATCGTGAATAGCGCTTGATTGTACGCGACAGGGCCTGATAAGATATCAAAATGATCGAATAAGAATCAATATGATTCGATTTATTACCTTTAATGATGACTGCATGAACTTGATCCTCATCACTCAAATAACGTATACGACGCAATGGAATCAACTGTTCAGTTTTCTCGAGATCCCTTCAATTATCTATTTCATTGTATTATACATCCAAACACAACCACTCATAGCCCTTGTGAATGGAAAGAAAAAATGTGAATGCCTTCAGCGTAACTAATAGCAAATCTGATCACTCAAAAGCGGCAATGAAAATGTATTTAACGATGCTTCACTTTCAGATGTTACAAAGGGATATCAATAATGGACAAATTCGAGCACTGCTAATTTATATATGCTAGCATAAACCCTTGTGTAACTGCATAAAACTGTTTTGATGAGGTTATCGAAAGTTACTGTCAAAATAAAGCAACTAAACGAATCCAACTTACAACTGAGCCATTTTGCTACCAACGATTGCTTCCTGAATTAAATCTTCAGGTTCAGGTGCCGTCGTAATTGATTTGTTCAGATCACGAGGCGAGATTAGAGCATCGCGTTTCTGTTTCGACACGCTTTCCTGGAATGGAGAATTCGAATAAAGAGTCGAGCTGAGACACTTGTAAAGTTATTATCAACACGATTTGTTGTTTACTTTCCGCCGAACAATATTTTGACAAGAACTGATCAAGAAATTTCGAAGAGAGAAGCATTCTGATTGGTTGAGAAAATGGAAATAAATATGACGAGTTGCGATATAAACGAACCAATTCAGAGTGTATTTCGAGCGGGATCCATGGGTCTTTTTCAATCAATTTACTACGATGTAGCGATGACTCCTCCCTTCTCTTCTTCTGCTTTTCAGTTTCCGGCTTCAGAAAACGAACCCGCAGTGGTGCTGGACCCGGTCCTTGCTCGTTCTCGGAGTCCATATCGTCAGCTGAACAGAAAGAAATATTACAGTCACATTTTCGAAAACAGAATTCGGAAAAACAATTGAATAACTATTCCATTCTA